TTCCATTGCTGCTGACCATGCATGCCAGGCTATGCAGGCCTCTTATACTGAATGGAATATATAAAAACAGCCAAATGTAGCTAAAAACAGAACTTCTGTGGTTTTAATTGTACAAAATAGAAAACTAAGCAAGTCTATTTTAGGTTACCTAACAAATTGACATGGTTCGAAGCAACTGCGTGAAGGCATGCAGTTTGCATTAGCCTATGCTAATTGAGTATAAAGGTGACTCCACAGCTGGTGTGTCATTTAGCCCTTGTAACTTTTAAAAATTAACCCATTTCAGGTGCACTCGCTCATTTTTACAACATTCCTTGGCTTAAATATGTAACAGGGTTGGTGTTTTTAGCACATAACTAGCAAATACACAAAATGTGGTTAACTAGCATCTATGCTAATGAGACAAGGCTACATATCCCTGTTGGTGCTACTTGACCTCAGCGCAGCTTTTGATACGATGGACCACAATATTCTTCTAGAAATGTTAGAAAACATGGTTGGAATCACAGGGACAGCCCTATCATGGTTCAAATCTTACTTAACGGAACGTTATCAGTTCAAAAAGGTAAATGACTTATCTTCCAATTATTCACAAGTAAGATCTGGAATTCCGCAAGGCTCTATTTTAGGACCATTATTATTTACATTATACATGTTACCGTTAGCCACAGTTATAAGTAACCATGGCATTAATTTTCACTGTTACGCAGATGATACGCAATTGTACATATCAGCCAAGCCTGATGACAAATACAGGTTAAAGAAAATAGAGGACTGTGTAAAAGATGTGAAAGGTTGGATGTTGCGTAACTTCATCCTTCTAAACAGTAACAAAACAGAGGTTCTCCTTCTGGGTCCAAAAGTGGCAAGAAATAAATGATCAGATTTAACTTTAAATCTTGCTGACTTTCCAGTTATACCTGGTTCAGCAGCAAAAAATCTTGGTGTAATACTCGATCCAGATTTATCATTCGATCAACACATAGGCAGTATCACTAGGACAGCTTTTTTACATCTTCGCAATATCGCCAGAATAAGAAATGCCTTATCGCTGCATGACGCAGAAACATTAGTACATGCCTTTATTACTTCAAGGCTAGACTATTGTAACGCACTACTGTCAGGATGCACCAGCAGGAATTTAAGTAAACTTCAACTAGTTCAAAATGCTGCAGCCAGGGTTCTCACTAAAACTAGAAAATTTGATCATATCAGCCCAGTTCTATCATCACTCCATTGGCTGCCTGTTAAATTCCGTATTGATTACAAAATTCTTTTATTGACGTATAAAGCCCTACACGGGCTCGCTCCTGAGTACCTGCAAGACCTTATTTCCCATTACGAGCCACCACGATTACTCAGATCACAGAGTGCTGGCTTTTTAATAGATCCCAGAATTCAGAAGGCTTCATCTGGGGGAAGAGCCTTTTCTTATAAAGCCCCCAAACTCTGGAATGATCTTCCAGAAAATGTTCGGGACTCAGACTCAGTCACAATCTTCAAATCTAGGCTGAAAACTCACTTATTTAGCTTTTGGTAGTTAATGTTTCCCCTTGGATGAAAGGCAGCAGATCCAGGGGTCCATGGACGCAGGGAAGGCGCTCCCGTATCTGTGTGCCCTTTTTTTAGTTAAGCTGTTGTAGTCAGATCTGCCGGAGTCGTTAGCCACACTCTGGAAATGTTTTACATATTATTATACATACACCCATACAGAACAAAACTAACTCCATTTCCCTACCTTTCTTCCGAGAAAACAACTGCCCACCTGTCCGGCCGGACACTGCTGGATGATTGTCTGTAGAGCTCTCCGGCTACCCGCTTCAGACCAGTTGCCCACACCCCAGTCACCGCCACCTGCCTTGGACTGGCTGCCCTACTCTACACTGAAGTGGACTCCTAACTATTACTACTACTATTATTATTAATATTAGTAGTATAATAATTTTGTAGGTAGTTTGACCAGAGGAGGATGGGTCCCCCCTTGTGAACCTCCCAAGGTTTCTTCCCCAGCTCTGAGGGAGTTTTTCCTTGCCACTGTCGCCCACTGGCTTGCTCACCTGGAGGATTTACATTTCATATTGAAACTTTGTCCTAAATGGATTTCTGTGAAGCTGCTTTGTGACAACATCAGTTGTAAAAAGCGCTATACAAATAAATTTGACTTGACTTGACTTGACTTGACAAGAACATTAAGGATATTGTAATGATTTACTTAAAATTTACTTTTTAAAGTGAATCATTTTCTCATAATCTATAATTTGGGTAAAAATCCTGAACTTTCAAAATGATCTTGTCAGTTATCTATCACTGAAAAAAGAAGACTTTAGAGGTTTATATTATTATATTATATTATATATGAAATATTCATAGGGGTGAAAGTGTTCAGGTGACAGGGTTCAGTGAATATTGGAGGACACATATACAATGTTTATTTATAATGGATGACTCAGTAAAGAGGACGTTTCTAGCATGAGATGTTAAATATTAATTACATATTACATATTAATGCAAAAATAAGTTAAGTACTTATTCCGAGATAAAGTGTAGTTATAGTGAGCTGGGACAGTGGAGGGGCTGTAGGTTGGTTTGTATTAAGTTATTTGAAACATACACATAGATAGTTGTGAAAGACACTTAGCCCATGTTTAAAATGCCTTTAAAATTTGCTTTATATACATATTTGTACATGTAATTTCAGTGGTACACAAGTTGTGGAATTACCATAAGCTCCCTAGTTGTTATCTACATTAGCCTCCTAGCTTATTGTAACAATTAATAAGCAAACTTTGACAAACATGCCTAAGCTGATTGACATCCTATTTAAGGAGGAAAGTGGGTAAATTTCATCAGACATTTTCACCAAACTATTCTTTTAAATGTAAATACTATACGTATTTTCACAGTCAAAGGATGTGATAGTTTAGACACTTTAATATCTTTTTTATACAGTTCAATTCTGCACCGCACTACTACTGTCCTTAGTGCTTTACCACTGGACAGAATTCATCTAAGGTGACGTTAGACTATGTGACCCACATGGACCTCTATTGATTAGCCTATTGCCATGAGTACATACATGAAAGTAATCGGACACTGTGACCCAGACGCCTCACTTTGAACTCCTGCCAAAGTTATTTCCCAAGCCCTTTGCCGCAAGAGTTTTCCACTTGGGTTTATCGCCGCAGTTCTGTCTGGGTTCGGAAAATGCCTGCAGTGCCGGAGTCATAATTAGTTAATGCCCTCGCTGGCATGGGGCACTCAGCACTGCTGGCGCTTGGACTTGCACCAAGGCAATGGTCTTTACTACAGAAGTGGAACTGCGCTACTATTTATGTTCACTGAAAATTTAAGATTAGTTTCCCAGACAGAGATTAAGGATAGTCCTAGAATACATTTTCCTTTCAATGAAGAATCTCCATTCAGAATGCTGCAAAGTTTAGGACGAGTCTTCATCTCTGTCCAGTAAACCAACGCTTAAGGCCGGTTTCCTAAATAGTGATTAAGTCTAGTCATGGATTATATGTTCCTTTCAATGGAAAATGTCCATTCAAAATACTGTGTAGTCCAAGACTAGGCTTAATCCCAGTCCCTGTTCTTTGATTTTAGGCCCCAAGTTTTATCTGTGTGGCTTTAGCATTCTGTCTGAGTGATCAAAATTATCACTTGATTATGTGTCATGATTACATGATTAAATGTCAGTTATCTTCTCAATGAATTGGCAGTGATTAGTTGAATAATGCAAATTTGAAATGATTCTGCAAAACCTCTCTTACAGTAAGAAAGACTAATGGGCACATATTCATATGCATTTTTACCCACATACTGTTTTATATGCACATTTTATAAGTTTCCAATAAAGTATTTTGGAATTCTTGGAAAGGCTGTGCATGGTTTGTTACAGTACAGTGAAGACTATTTTTATTGTTTTTCCTTTGTAAAAACTTGACTGTTAAAATAATTAGTAGATTATTCGATTATCTATTTTATCAATAGTGAAAGCCCTAGTAAAGTGGAACTGGAATTGAAGCTTTCGTGTTTCTATCACTATTTAAAAGAAGTGCAATGCTACCTTTATTGTTGGATGCACAAGCTTGCAGCCTTTTTAAAATGGATTACTCGATTAATCAGATTACTCAACTGGATTACTCAATTAGTAATATAATCAATACTGACAGCCCTACCGAAATTTGGTTTTTTAAGCAAGCCGATTAAAAAACGATTACTCAATTTATTGTCAAAATAATCAGTAGGTTACTTTATTACTAATATAATCTGTAGTGACAGCACACTGACATTTATCAACATGTGGAATTGCAGCTGTCTGTGTTCTAATAGGTGTTTTCTAGCACTATATAAAAGAAGCATGAAGCTGCCTTTATTGTTGGATGCGCTGCATTTCTGAGTGAGATTCAAAATGAGTAATTTTTAAATAAAGTACCATATCCCTGCCAAAAGTTTTAATCCATAGGCAGAGCCTTATTTTAACCACACCCCTTCATTTTAGAACAAGAAGTAAGACTGCAACCTGTGGCCACATGGTGAGCAGTTAGATCCCATTGTTCTGAAGTATGTGTCCCAAAGTTTGAAGGTCAGTGTGGAACATCAAGAACTATCACTTCTGAAACATTTAATGCAAGAAAATAAACTTAATGAAAACCATTACGATTGTGTGTGTGTCCAGCTGTTCAAAGCTGCGTTTGCTAGTCAAGTACTGGCTAGCATTTATGAGCTCAAAATTAGCTAAAACCGTCACCGAAACAGTCACCAAAACATTTGGTAAAGTTTCAGAGGTGCTACCATTTTATTGGTTGTGACAAACTGAATGTAAATTATTTGTTTCAATAAAATAAACATAATTAAGTTAGAGGGTCACTCAAAGCTATAGCATTTTATTCTAAAGTTCAAGTCAGTTAAAAGTCCAAAATGTTTTGAACACATCCATACCACACACTCATATCACAAAGACTAAAGCAGCACAAAAAAAGAGGCAAAAGACAGGCGAGAATTTCCACGACACTGTTTATTGTGGATGGTTTTCAAGTTTTGCTTTCTTTCTTTCTTTTTTTTTTTTTTAATAGTGGTTCCCTTTACATCGAATGCTCTAGAGCGAGCAGGAGGAGATATCGCACACAAACATCAGAAAAAGCACAAGGTAATACTTTCACTTGAGACTAATCCTCTACGTTAGATATGGGTTTGGGGAAAGTAAAGAGGGAAGATGCAAGTTCACAAGATATATACTTCAAACAGAGCTGCAGACATACTAATATTATCGCAGAGTTGGGGTGGGGGGGTCGTATAGTGGGGTGGGGGGGTTTGAGGCAAGAGTAAAAGAGTAAGTGTTAGAGAAAGACAGGAACTGTTGGTGTGTGTGAGTGTAAGTGTGTGTGTGTTAGAGAGAGAGAGAGACAGAGAGAAAGAAGTGAGTGCATAGATGAGAGAGAGAGAGAGAGAGACAGAGACAGAGTTCGTGTATGCGTCGTGATCCGGTTTAACTGTAGTGAGTGTCGTCGGAGTTTGTTGTTAGGTTGATCTGAACTTGAAAAACAGAGCTGCTTGTTCATGCATGTGGTTGAAGGTCCCTGTTGCTGTACGTCTGTGGTTGTCATGGAAACTCTGACGAATTGGTGTTGCTTCAATCAGAGTTGCTAGGCAACACAGTATAATTAGTGCATTTTCGCAGACAAGAACAAGAGAAAAGTGTTATGAGGCTTAGATCAAAGCCTCAATCCAGTTCACAGTTGATTTTCGTGATGTTTTTGATGTCTCTGAGTGCTATTAAAGGCTTTGTAGTGTCGTTTTTTTGTAGTGTCTCGATTTGCTCTCATAGTCTAGTCACTGTGAGGCAGATCTCATTGAATTTGCTTCAATTCAAATGTGCACTTCAAATAAAATATATCACAACACAATTACTGGCAGAAGTAAGCAAAGTGAAAAACAAAACTGTGTTGATGTAATATACTTTATCCTCGTAAATGTATTAAGCAAATTCAGTGCATTACTTGGTGGTCAACTGGAAAACTGGTGAGGCCATTTAACACAAATTGAGCTCATAAAGATCATGATGCTTAGTTACTCTATTACAAAGACTTATTTTAAAGTTCCTTGGTGTCTATTAGCAATGACCGCAAGCAAAAATATATTCCTAAAATGAGAGAATCACTCGATTTGATCCAGTTTTGTAGTGCCTCACATATTTACTTTGTCTCACAAGGCTGTTTAAACATGGTGCAATGCTATTTTGCTCATTGTATATGCAATAGCATTACCTTTAGCAGGCTATTCTGTCAGATGGATTGCACTGTTTGTGGACAGAAATGAACGAACTATACACTAAAAGACCTCTTGTTTTATATACTATTTAAAACTAACATTGTAGTGCGTTGTTGGCAGTTAAAAGTAAGTTTCCCCCTCATTAAAAAAGCAAAGAACGCCTCAGTATATTACATTACCCATGCAAATTTAAATCATTCACACTGGTATGAGTCTGTAACAGCATAATCTAAAAAACCTTCATTAAGGGTCAGAAACCATCTCAATTTTTACGTTTCAGTGCGGAAAAAAACAAGTTCAGGAAACCTCGATTCTTAAACGTGTGAGGATAAAAGACAGAAGCAGCAAAAGACAGAAAAAAAACTGTAGGTGAAACAAACTGCATACAGAACTTAACACTTAGAGCACTTTGGGCTGGAACGTCAGTTGAAAAGATATCTCTTTCTATCGCTTGACTTTTTTTTAAAGCAAAATAAAAATATCTTGAGCGATCCTATAGTTAAATACAGAGGAATGTCGAACTAACCCATCTTAGTATAAATGAATTCATTATTCTAAGAACATTTGCATGGAAAGAAAACAAATCTAGTTCATCAAAAGGTTTACATACACAAAAGTGCAAATAATAAATAGTGCAAAATGACAATCTTGTTCCGAGAGTATTTCCAAATAATAATAATAATAATAATAATAATAGTAACAGTGGTCATGATTGGCAATGGATAACTTGGACATTAAATATATACTGCCCCATTCTTGCGCATGGTCTCGAATTACTGAAGCAGACATACACATCAATGAATTCGTACTGGCTAATTCACAACAAAACATGTGAAATTACTTTTAAATGCATCTCAAGTGAAGCTTGAAGCTGGTTAAGTATCACTGATTAAGACTGTACCTTAAGGCTAAAGCCTCTCTCTTTTGTTTGTGGTTTGCAAGTTACGCAAATCTTTCACGAAGTCGCGGTGTCGTCGGACGCATTCCGCATTGTGTCTTCACCGTTGTGTTTGTGATCATAAAATACACACACCTGCTAATTATCCACATAATAAGTGCATCACATGTGTTGTACATTCAATTAACATTCTAAGGCATTTTTTTAAAATAATCCTTCATACTTTGGTGTATTTATTATTTCTAACGTGGCTTTTTTATTTTATGCTGTTTTATTTTATCAGCTGCTTTTAAATGCTGTATGTTTGCAGGAGCTGTCCAAGTTAGAACTGAAATCCTACACCTGTCCAAATTTGCTATGGACATGTATATGTGTTTTTATAAGCAGCTTCACTATTTGCTGTTTATATATTGCTATAAACAAAAATTATTAATATGCCTACGTAGGTGGGTTTTGAAGAACTGCTGATTTGTTTGAAAATTAGATGTGGGGAGCTTTGTAGTATATTAATAAGCAAAGCATTTTCCTTGGTAAAGACCAAAGCATTTACCTTGGTTTTGTTCAGCCGTGTTCCATGTTCATAGCATTTTACACTCAGTTTTTGACCATCAGAAGAATTCACTGATCCCCAGAGCTCGATTTGTTTTCACAGCTCAATTTTACATGCAGGGAAAGATTCATCTTGCATAACCACAGTGCTGCTGCTGGCTAAAACCATAATATTCAAGTTTTGCTGTTTCTCATGGGTCTCCTGATACCACTCCCTCATAACATCAGAATCGTGGGTTGGAATAAGCGTCACCTAAAAGTACAGGACATAAATCTATGAACATCAAAATACAGATCTATATTTTCCATGTAAAATGACTATAATTCAAAAGCTTATAATTAGACCACTGCATGCAAAGCTTAAAGGGTCCATATCTGACATGTTTCTTGAGGTCCACTATAGATTTTGTGTCGGGTCTATGTATCAAAACCAGCTGTATTTCACTTTTACATGACCATTTTCCAACTTCTTTTCGTAGCTTAGAATTAAACAGCCTGTTTTTGTTAGTGTGCTGATATACGCGAACAAGGCTGATATATGTACATGACTTTCATTCTGTTTGGCTGCTGTGTATTGTAAATGGGTGGAGCAGGACTGTTGTTGGCTGAATATGCTATGCTGTAGCCTGTAAATGCAATGATTTTTGTGACATTACAAAAAACTGTCCATTTTTGTAGCTTACTTTCCATATATGGACTGTATGTATCAGAGATTGATTGACATTTTGAAACCTCAGCAATGTTTACATACTACATCAAGCATTCGTATCAAAGAAGGGATAAAATCTCACTTTTACATGATATGGGCCCTTTAAATTGAAGCTCCAATTAACATTATTCCTACATTAAAAAAACACTATCAGTTACATTAGGTCCTTACATTGTAATACTATTTTTAACAGTCAGTTATTCTTATTCACGTATATAAAAATCATACCTGCATGTTGCTGTCCCACTGTGCTTTCCCCTCTAAAAGAGCATCTAGGACCAACTTGCTGGGCTCCTGTGCTGTTTGATCATTGCCACTGACCACATAGTATGAGGATCGAATTCGTTTGAAGAACTCTGCATCCACGTTTTTGGCACTGCAGTGATTAGGGATATAAACTAGGTCCATGTACATTGGAGGACAGTTTGGTACTGACAGTCCACTGTTGGCCTTGCTGCTTCCTGAGGAACAAGTAAAGGAAAAGGTAACGAAGCAAGGATTTATAAATATACGAAAAAATAAGACAGGGCTAGCAACTTTATGAGCAGGTAGCACTGGTGCTAGAAAAGTTGCAAATGCTGTTGTACAAACATTACCATACTACTACTACTTATAAAAAGTGTTAATCTCAATAAGTGGAACAATTTGCCATTTGGCAACACGTAAAAATTGTAGGGTTTGCACTTTAATATCCATTTGTAAAATGTATAGCAAAATAATTTTCTCCAAAATAATAAAGTTTTCCCCCACATAAGGGCACAATTAGAACATAATTAGCTTATATGTGTGTCTTTCAGAGAGAAGAAACCCACACTAGAAGGAGCTCACATAGGAGGCTAAATAGTTAATTACCAAAAAGTGAGGCTCAGTGATATTTAATATGCAAGTTTTAATTTAATCAGTTAATTCTAAAAGGTATATAGGCTAAAGATAGCAAAGACAGTAAGCATCCATATAGAAGCACATTTTTGGGCTCAATTGCTTTACACAAACAGTAAAATCCTAAATCTGGCTTTACGTATGGCATTATAACCCTGAACTAAGCAACTAACCAACACTGTGTACATCACTTTGTTTACAACAACACTCGGTTTACACTTTTGCATGCCTACAATTGTGATCTCTTTTTACATTTGCAAAGGATTTATTTCTCCTACTATGTGTCACTCTGCACAGCCCATTTAAGATCAATGTACAGTGTTTTAGTGAAGTAAGGTCGGTGCTGTATTGTCATCATGCCTAGCATGATGGCAGGTACAATACAATTGCGTTTCAAGCTAGTATTGTACTCATATTGTACACAATCCCCTTTATTAGGAATTCTTAATAACGAAAGCTATGGAATAACATGTACCTGTAGTTTTTACACCCCTTGATGCAGAGGTGTTAGTTGCATTTTTGGCATCTTTCTCCACTGTGCTCTTCTTTGGAGATGCTGTTTTTGACTCCTTGGCTGCATTTGTTTTAGACAGAACATTCTTTCTAGCTGGTGAAGAAGATTTAGGTTTTGGCTTCTCTCCCTCCCCTTTTTTAGACTCCTTTAGTTGGTTGTCCTCCTCAGCCTTAAGGGCCTCTGGATCCACCATGCAGACATCAGGATAAGGTGGTGCAGGAGCAGAATCCCTTGATGCAACTGGAGGAGGATCTACATGACGATAAGTGAGGGTCCTGTCTGTCGGTAGAGTTTCTGAGTCATCTTCTGAATCAATGTTTGCATCTGCAGTTATGGAAGGACACTCTTCAGTTCCAGGAGGAACATCAGAATCTGTTTGAGAAGGTGCTGATTCACTAACAGAAGTTGGCGGAGTTTCCTCACACTGCTTACTTTGCTGCTTTCCTCCGGTTGGGGGTGGCCCTCCACCAGACTTAGTGAGTGGCTTTTCCTCCTGTAGAGGATTCTCCTCATTCATGAAGTACTCAAGAGGGTTGGGGTTTATGAACGAAGGTGAAAGCTCTGTCTTTGGATGTCTGTATTCACAGGAGGTCACCAAACATAAGTCAACATTTGACCGTGACTGAGGAGAGACACTTACTTTGGAGCTGTCTGGATCTCTTGAGCCGCTAGTAGACTTCTGAGCCGCTTCTTCAACATGAGCGGAGCTGCTAGAAAACTGAGACTCTGTTAGCTTAGGGGACAACAGAGGTGGAGATGGCATTTTGGGACTGACGGGTGATTTAGACTCAGACGTAAAGGGAACAGTCCCTTCTCCAAGATTAAGTGCATCAGTCTTCTGTGGTAGACAAGAGTAAGAGGACACTGTGGGGGATGAAGGGGAAGCAGCTTTTGGAAGGGTGCTGACCTCACTGGATCTGATCTCCTCTGTCTTAAAAGTACTATCATCACTAGAAAATAAGGTGGGACTTGTTCTATCTTTGTAATCTGAGGGGCTGGGACCCCTCAGTATTAGAGATGAGTCTGGGGACACCGGTGATTGATTGCGGGGAGATATTTTTGGTGTGACAGATTCTGAACAAGGACCAGCATTTGGAGACATTTCCCTGGGCTCACCAATTTGAGTGGGTGTTGTAACAGATGGGGTGGACTGGGAAGCATCGGATGGAGAAGCAGAAGCAACTTGGGTGCTGTCAGGCTCTTTGAAAAGCATGGGCTTCTCACCATTCCCTCCTGGTCTGCGTGGTTCTCCTGATCTGTAATCAGCTCCATCTGAGGGGCTGTAGTCAACCTCTGTTGGGCCATTTTCAGTGACTGCACGCTGGGGCCCCACTGCAACTGGGTGTTCTGGGGATTGCTTACTGAAATCCAATGCAAAAGAATGATCTGGGGATTCCTGACCAAATTCCACTGACATGGCAGAATGTTCAGGAGACTTTGTCCCCTGCTGAGGTGTCTGCGACTTGGCTGTTTTTGGCGAAACATCTGGAGAGATTGACATAGGCCGAGGGCTTTCCTCCTTAGATGGGGAAACGTCTGTTTCTTGCATTGTAGTTGGAGTTTGCACAACAGAGACAGACAGAGAGTCATCTACCTCTGTGGAGTGAGGGGAACCCACTTCAGCATGTAACGATGGGGAGACATCATCGGTTGTAGGCTCTGGTAAAGAGCTTGTTGCAAGTGATGCTGTTGAGGCTGAGGCAATATGAGAAAATGTATCTTCAGCAACAACTTCATCAACTGGAGTGCCTGACTTGTCAGATGTGGTTCCCTCAGATATGGACATTTTACTCTCCTCTTTGAATGTTGTGAAAGGAACTGAATCTGATGATTCGATTTTAGTCTGTGGTAGTGAGGATGAAATAGAGGAACTGTCACCATTTTCTGGCTTCTTATCATCATGGCTAATTTTAATAGCAGACTGATCATCAAAGTGTGGCTTTTCTTCAAGCACTGAGGTGGTACTGCCACAGGATACTGGACTACATTCTGGGGATGGAACCTTTTCTGCTGGTGATATTGGTACAGCTTCATCAATAGGACTAGCTTCTCTGGGAGAATACTCTTTGTCACTTGTTACTTCAACAATAATGGGACCTTGGTTAGTGACTTGTTCAAGGGGTATAGCTCCAGCCTTCTCTTCCACTGGAGACTGATAGTAAGGTGTATGCCCCAAAGACTGAGGTGAAGAAGTGCCCTCTAAGGTTTTATCATCTGGACTGTTTGAAGCATCCATGACTCCTTTTGATGACAATGTAAGTGTAGTGCCAAGCTCAATTGGTGATGAAATACCTGTTTGAATGTGTTCAATGCCTATGTTATGGTCTCCAGAGGGTGACCGCACAAGGGGCAAGGTGGTAGACGCAGCAGCAAGCCTCTCTGAGTCCAAAGAGAATCCTGTTGTACTGTAGAAATCCTTGCAAGATTTGTCTTCCTCCAATGAAGATGGTGGTGAAATTGTAGAAGCTGAAGCTTGGTAATCATGACCCTCTGTTGCATCACTCTTTGAATGATCTAAATCAGGAACATCTTGGAGGGGCGAGAGTTTCTTTCGATCATAGTCGCCTAAAATCCCATACTTGACAAAGTCTTGAGAGGGAGATTCAGTTTCTTCATTTGTAGTCTCATCGCTCATTATATCCCTTGGAGTTGACATTTCATCCATGGGAGTTGGTACACTTGAGATTTCGATTGTAGACTGTGTGTGCCCAGATGTAGTGTATTCCTCAGGAGGCTCATCTCTATTCTCATCATCTGAAGCCACCTCGCTTTCTGAGCCTACTGGCAGAGTTTCATCATGAATCGAAGCTGCTGGTGAGACTGGAGAAGAGAGCTTTGGAGGAGTGGTCACGGTCAAAATCTGCCTCTCAGTTTCTTTGTCAAGTTGTTCGGTCTCTGTTGGCCTGATGCACTCGTCCTCCACAGTTTCCTCCACAGTTTCTTCCTCCACATCTTCTGCCTTCACTTGAATTGTAGCATCTATTCCTTGTTCCTGTTCATCCACTTCCTCTGTATCTCCCTTTTCCTCATAATCTCCCATCTCAGATGACTCTTCAAGTCCTGTGCCCTCATCCTCAAATTTCTCTGTACCATTAGTGACAACAGCTTTTTGTTTAGGTTCTGACTCCTCTGGGGTACCTCCACATTCCTCCTCAGCTTCTGTAGTTGTTATTCCCTCATCCACAGATTCTGCTGTTTCTGGAGAGTCCTTGCAAATGGTGATTTCTTCCTGTTGTATCATTACTCCTTGTTCAGAATCTTCTATTTTGGTCTGAGGTAAGGTTTCATCATCTTCAACTATCTCCTCAGCTTTCAGAGCCTCAAAGTCTTTGGTAAGGTCTTCTGGAGAGGACATAAGGGATCGTTCAGCCTCCAAAGCAGTAGTGCTAGCTACAGTGGCTGCCACGATAGGAACAGCTGCAGATGCAGCAGCAACAACAGATTTTCCAGCATCTTTTTTAGTGGGCTTAGCTTTTTCTTTAGATTTAGCAGGGCTGCTGAGGGCTTTTCCTTGTGTTGCCACCTTTGGTTTTGGTGCAGGCTTTTTCACTTCACCTGCGCCAGAAACATTCTTCTTTAAACTTGCAGGTTTTTTTGAGTCTTTTTTAAGATCCTTTTCATCCCTCTTAATTTCTTTCTTTTCCTCTTTCCTGCTCTCCTTCAGTGGTGAGTCTTTCCTAATGTCCCGCTTTTTTACCTCCTTCTTGATGTCTTCTTTCTTCGGCTTCTCCTCACTTTTGACCTTTTCCTCTTTTTTGGGTGATGGCTTGTCATCTTTTTTCCCCTTCTTTTTGTCAACTTCACTCTTTTCCACAACTTTCTTTGTCTCCTTCTTGATTAATTTTTCTTTGGCCGTAATTTTTGGTTTTATTTCCACTTTCTTTTTTTCTGGTGTATCAGTTTTTGGTGTTTGTTCAGATTTAGCCTTTGTCTCCTTTTCTATAGTTTTTGCTTGTCGCTTGACAAGTGGTTTTTCTTTCTTCTCAACTTTCAGCAATGGTTCCGGAGTTCCTTCAGCATCAATTTTTGCCTTTTCAGGAGTTTCTTCTTTGGACTCCTTTCTGACGGCTTTGCTTGGAGATGCTTTTGGGAGTGACTTCAGACTCTCTTTGCTATCCGTCTTATGCTTCAGCTTTGCCTGCTTGAGAGCTGGTGCCATGTTTGAAGACAGGTCTTTCTCTGTGACTACAGGATGCTTGAGGAAATCCAAGTGTTTCAATTTCTCCAAGCCCTCAAGAATGTTATACTGTGTGGCATTACCTGGAAACAAAACACGTACTATTTTCTCTGATGGGTTAGAAGGATGCCATACAATCAGAGATGAGATTGAGGATAAATATGAGATTGGGAGCTCGGATTCATTTCCATTTGGTAACATAATTGGTGCCTTGTCCTTTTCACTACCAGTCCACTGCTTCATAAAGTACTGCAGCTCTTTGCTGTTCTTTGAAGGGTTCAGGACATACATTTCAAGCTTACCAACTCCCATTTTCTGGAACAGTATGATAGGTTCAATTGTATTGCCTACATTCCTTTGTAGAGGTTCTGGTTTCAAAGACAGCTTGCTGAGATACTGCTGAGTGAGTGTAGCTTCTTCAAGGTTTCTTCGTACCCTGTGGTTTGGTTCTGGTTTCTCAAGAGTCTCAGGCAGGTTAAGGAACACAACACCAAGGTCAGGTGAGATCATGTTCTTCATCCAGTCACTATTGGCCGTGGATCCCTGTGATTGTTCCTCCTCCAGTTCTGCAATCTTTCTTTGCAGCATGCTGTTGATCCCTGGAAGGTTGTCATCTCCAATGTGAGTCAAGAGAATAGAATCTACCCGGTCTAGATGGCGAACCAACTTCCAAAAACAGGATTTCCTGTTAGATCCACCATTGACAAGCATGTTGAAGCCATTAACAGCGAAAAGTGCTGAATCACCTCGGCCACCTGGGAAAATGTAGCAGCATGGTTTAGATAACTTCAGGAATCCACCTGATGTGGGAGGTTCAAGCATATCAAAGGGAGATGGGATTTCCACCGATTCTGAGAGGTATTCTGTGAACTCAGAGAGGCCCTCCATTTCTGGTAGGATGCTTGGAGAGTTTAGCTTAATATTAATGAAGTCTTGTAGGCTGTGTTTGTCAAGGTTTGAATTTTTCCAGTCACCATGTTCAGGACAGAAAAGGGTTAGGCTGGCTTTGTTGGCTGGATGTATGGTGCTTAAAAGTTCCCCAATCTGCATGATAAAAGTTAAACAATGTTAAATGGATCCAGCACATTGATTCGTTTTTTTTTAAAGGTAATCAGGTCTGGAATGCTACTATTTGTGAACTTTTATTTGCATTTCAATCACTATTTGAGGTTTGATTTTTCTTTTTAGTAACCACAGAAAACAACTACTAATTACTAACTAAAAATTATGATAGAATGATATAAAGAAAAAAAAAATCATAAATACAACAGATTTTTTCACAAAACAGTGGAGACAAGCAATACATATATATATATTTTACTATATATATTACTACCTAATCTGACCATAGGTTACCATTACATATACCTCTTGGTCTGTGAAAATGTCAATGAAGTTGAAAAAGGAGAAGGAACCAGACTGGAGAATGAGTTCACCGGTGTTTTCAAAACACTGTCCTGCCAGAACAAGCAGCTTGTGGCGGGCTGCGTCTGAAATCATCAAGCGAACCTAGAAACAGCAACAGATGGAAGGCTCATTTAAACAGTGTACATCACAATATGAGCATGGTTCAAATTAGCTGAGGTGAAATAATTAAGGTCAGGACAAATATGCAACCTTTGTGGGATCTGAGTATGTTGTATTCCAATGTCACCTCAAAATCATTATATTTCTTTTAGTATACCCTGAAACACTGAAAACTTGCACAGCTGAAATTCGTCTCTTTCCTTAGGACAATGTGTCGGAGGGCACTTTGGTGTGCAGACTTGCTGGACATCAACTAATGAAAATATAATCAATTTCATCTGTATAAAATGCATTAGTTAATTAGCTCTGGCCCTCCCTCACTGTCTCTCTCTCTCTCTCTCTCTCTCTCTGTGTCTGGTTTGATTTCCACTTCACTGCCACCGACTGTTCTGGGCAGCTCGCCAGGGTCAAACCTGCAGTTCTGTGCCATATTATTAATGCAGAGCTGGACTGCAGATGGCCTGTAAAGGAGGGTGCTGGTTCAGTGTATGTTTAAAGATTGAAAAGCATGGCAAACTCCTTTTGTTATTGTAAAGGCTGATGTACTATGAGTAAGGGCTAACTTTGGGACAGTTGGCAAATTACCCATTTCATAGTTCCAATGAATAAATGAATATTAAAGCCACATTTGGAAGACAGACACAGTAGTACAATGGAAGAGGATGGATTGCCTCTTAAGCATCAGTTGGCTCCTCCCTTTTCCAACAACTAATGGAAAGCAGTGCTACACCAATAATGCTAGAAGTGCAGTGTGAACAAGTTCAGTACATTTCCTGAACCATAGTTTGTTGGTACTACTACTGGAACAAAGGCAGGCCTCTCAGCCAGGCCACTTAGAAATGAACTGCTTTGTTCTACTGATGTGCTCTTCATGACCAAGATTTTTATGCCTTGTCAAAGACACAAGACTGAACACGATAAGCAAACTCATTCAGTGTTGCAGTAGCTTACATGATATGGATGTCAAATACATGTTGCAATGTAACATGTAACCCTCAACCCTTTAAGTCTTACATCTGATGTCACGATGCGTAAGTCAACAGTGATGTGCATATGATAACAAGAGAAAGACAGAAAATGACCTCAGTGCTAACAGCCTCATCTGAGGGGTTGATCAGCACAACAGTCTCCAGTACACTGCTTTTGTGGTGCAGAATCTTCTGTCCTGTAAACAGCAAAGAGAAGACAAAGTTGCTATTAATTAGTCTCTAACTTTTAGCATGTTTTCAACTAAGAACAAAAATACACTTCTGAAAATGCCACGTTTTCCAGTATTTTGAACTGTGATTGTTAACAGAAGACAGTATGTCCCATTCCAGTAAGTGATTTTGTAGGAATTAAATGATTACATTCATCTTACACACATGCAACATCAAATGTTTGTTCATTAAGTCACAAGATGTAATATTCATAAATACTTTAGATTTGATTTGGTATTGCTGTGTACTGGTTGTACTAATTGAGCTCATAAATTATGCACAAATTCTCAGTTTCTGGATGAGCTCCAAGATGCAGATGTAAGTGTAGAGCAGATCTGCCCAAACTGGATGTTCGATTTGGCCAGCCAGAAAACAGCATAACCCCCTGACTCACACAGCCAATGAGAAAACCCATATTAATACTTCTTCCGTAGCTTCTTATTTTTCTTTTAAATTTTATTTTTGAAGTACAAAACTACTTACAGTACAAAACCTTTAGTAACAAAACATAGTGCCAGTTTCCCAGACATGGATTAAGCCTAATCTTGGACTAAATTCTAGTATCAATGGAGAATTCCCATTGCAAGAAATTCTTTTTAGTCTAGGCCTAGAATGAATCTGGGCCTGGGGAAATGGCCTTTAAGTTTTTGTTACTGTTTTTGTGATGTCAAGAAAAACAGTGCATTTACACCTATATGCCTATTCAGCCTAAAGCAGTTTAGCTCCGCCCACTCAGAGTTCAGTTATAAGGAGTGTTTTAGCCAAGACTTTTTCAATCAGGCAGAATACAGGACAGACAATTGGAAAAGAGGTTCTTTATCAGTTGTAAAGGCACAGTAACAAAAACAGCCCGTTTAAACAGAGAGTTTCGGTAAATAAAACCACAAAATAACTGGACCCCAGTGGAAAGGATAAAATACTACAAAAATATGATATATTAGATATAGATATTGTCCCTTTACAACATATGACCCTTGACACCATAAAATTATCACTGACTGCAAGGCAGGTGTAACAATACATATGTAACTAGCAGTCACAAGCTAATAGACAAGAGGAGGTTCAGAGACCACTGGTGGGAAGAAAATCTTTTTGCTGAATTTAATTTAGAACACTTGAGCCAATACAGTGCATGTTGGACGATTTAAATGTTAGAAAACGTACAAAAGGAAAGCACTTTTTTTGAGGCGGTCGTGCCTGCTAAACAGCCGTGCTGCCACTTTCCACACATGGAACAACTTTCCTCGCAAAACATGAATGTTGGCTGACACTGTGGTTCTGCAGAAGTTGTTGAAAGCTAGAAGAAAACTTTATATACCCCATTCTGATTGCAAGTACAGGCTACAATAGCAGTAGCCTGCAGGCTAATTTACCACAGTAAGCTTTGGCTAGTGTATTGTTTCAATAAGAAGCAATTCAAAGGCTGTGAAAGTGTGATTTTACCAAAATAGAACAAAGTTAGCTTAGCAAGTTAGCAAGTTTCTGACAAGAAACACGAGCATGTTTATCTTCTCCGGTTGAAGTAGGCTTCCCTGTGCCGTTACCGCTTGACTAGCCATGCTGAAAACGAGCTTCGTGAATCTGAACAAAATCTGTGTTAACCCTTGGAATCCCATGAGGGCGCCATAGGGTGCTGCTGTGCACTTTTTATTAAATTGACTGCCGAAGGTCACTGTCAAAAACCATTTGTCATAAAGAATTTTGATCAACTGCATCACATTCTTAAGACTTCAAAAAATACAAGTGTTGTATGATTTCACAACCACTCAGGACTAACGTTCAAGCACAATTAGGCTGTGTAGGCTCTTCAAAATTGCACACATTTTCATTGGTTTTTGGTTTGTTCGACACTTGCACTAATGAAACCTTGAGTTTCAATTCATCAGTGTCATCGTTTTGGGTCCAGTAGCCAAGGAAAATGACAAAATTGTATATCCTTGTTTATATATATGTCCTTTCCAAACTGCCTAATCCTGCAGAATGTCCTGCAGCATACAGCTGAGGGCAGAACAAAGCTTCTGGTGCCCCCTTACAGGCCCCTATTAAAAGTAAAAAAGCATGTGTAGGTTTCATCTTTTTTCCAGAGCTTCATAAGACTTGTTGGCACTGATACATTTTATGTTTCAAGATATTTTAGTCTTTTATTTGTTCATATTTGAAGGATTATATAAAAAATAGTCTTTGTTTTTAGTGTTTTTTCATTTATATAATTAAAAAGCGATATACTGCATCCCACACATGTAAACAATCCTTATATCTAGTTTAGATTCCATAGCTGTGCGAAACAACAGGCCCCTGCTTTTCCCTGCTCAGTTAGAACAAAGCCAAGCCTCTTTAATGGCTTAGAATAGATGGTGGTGAAATTTCCCTTTTCAGTTCTCTGTTGATAAACCCATCCAATTGCAAATTTATCAAACTGTCCAGTAATGGACGGGGCCTGTCACACAACATAAATTTTAATCGACTGCAAGCAACTGTCTGCTCTGTCACTGACACAGAAAATTAGCCTTGGAGCTTCAGGAACACCCAGTGCTTCCAGCACTGCCAGGTTAGGGCCTTTTCCTCCTCTAAAACATAAATCACAGCAGGTGTCTCGTGTGTTCAATAAACGCTTTTTCATAAACGGATGGTTTTGAGTTTCACTCCCTGTAACCTAGCAACAATAAAAGCAAGGAAAAACCCACATGTTCATTAGCAGAGAGCTGGTTCATGGAGTATTAGCTCTGCTGATGTAGAACACAGTGCTGTAGTGCAAAATGGTCACTGTTACATTAACTACATTTTTAAAAAGATGGTTCTTCAAGGGTTCTTTAGTAAAGGGAATAATTCATATAGAGCATAAGTTCTATATATGAACCATATCATGCTTAATTATATGGTTACTTATATGGTTCTATATAGAACCTTTTTGAAAATGGTTTTATATATCACCAAAAAGGGTTCTTCTATTGTTACAGATTTGACATCATAACAACAGAAGAACCCTTTTTGGTGCTATAAAGAACCATTTTGAAAAAGCTTCTATATAGAACCATATAAAATCAATTCTCCATCAATCTGAAGAACCATTTAGCAATACAAAGAACCCTTTAATCATACAAAGGGTTCTCTGGGTGTTCATAGTTCTATGTAGAACCATTTTCTTTACTAAAGAACCCTTGAGGAACCATCACTTTTAAGAGTGTAAGGCTTAAAACAATAGAGGACCCCTTTTGGTGCTATATAGAACCATTCCCAACACATTCTGCATCAATCTACAGATCCATTTCACCATGTAAAGAACCATATAAGCATGAAACGCTTCTATACAGAACCATTCCCATTACTGAAGATCCATCTTTTATAAGTGTGTAGTATTGTAGGATAGGCAGCTATAAGAGTGAACACCGGTACATCACTGTCCAATGATATGGGGATTAGCATATCATGAATAGCCCCGCCCCCAAGTAAACAGCTTCAGTATTTTTTATAAACTTAAGAAAAAGCTTAACACAATTGAACACTGTCACCCAATTTCCACCTGTTTTGAAGTAGCTCCATCAGTTAAACTATGCATTTTTTCTTAACATTGATGGAAAATATTTTGATTGAAATGTGTATGATTTATGATTTATGATTCAGAAGCGAAAGCACACTAGATTTTTGTCTTTCTAGGTGACCAATTATTATATTATTTTATAATAAAATATTTATTTTATTGCATTAAACTGTTATTTTTTTATTGTGACATGATTTTTTATATCAAGAAAGCTGCAGTTGTGCTGTCCATTTTATCTGGCCTGTTTGTGGAGAGGTGCAAATTGTTTTCACAGCAGGGGGTGCTATCCCCTCCCCTTTCAACCCTCATTGCTCACTAGCAGCTCAACACAAAGCCAAATTTCACACACAGAGATTTAACATTGTCCTAGTTAATTTGATAACAGAGTTACGGGAAAAAAAATATTCTGCCACTGTTACATTGTTTTGGTAATTTTTTCCAGTGACAATACTGTAATATGTATTTGAGCTTTTATCCTTTACTTATCTTACAGTACTCATTTTTGTCCATCCGAACTTATACAAACACTGCAGTGTGTTAATTCAACACTTTTTCTGTGCAGCCATCCTCCTACCATACTGCTCTGGAGAAATGTCTAACACAAGTAACTAATAATATCTAATAATACCTAGTCTTGTTTGTCTGCCTTTATGTATGCAATGTTTAATAATGCCTGGTTCAAGACCAGGTGTGTGTATATGTGCAGATGGTCTGATCACGCAGTGCATGTAATTACAGTGTCATTTCACACCTGCTGAGTCATCATTAATCATGTGGATTTATTTTTTCACCTCCCCCACTCTTTCAACACTGCTTTTGTCCTCTGCATTCTGCCTTTCCCCAGTAAAATGTACCCTCCTTCTTACAACAATGTGAACTATATGTCCAGTTAGTATGAATTTTATAGCTTTGGTTATGTTTATTATAAGTAAGCTGCAATACCTATGGAAAAAACTGGTCATATGTATGTATCTCTTTCAAAATTGCCTGATGCCTGAGAAATCTTTTACAATAGTCTTGAGGTAAGGTTTTGGCCTGAAGCTTGGTGGAGAGGTACATGCAAAATGCTCAAAGAAAATGTTTTTTTTTTTTTTTCACTATACTAGACATGTGTAGGTTCACTGGTCATTTTGGATAGTAAATACAATGGCTGCGTATTTGTGTTGTAGACATTGTGACCCCTGGTTCCTATAACCACCACTGTAAAACAATCTGACTCAGTGACTTTCTCTGCAATGCACCATCTCAAATCAAACCACTCTGAATGAATTTGTATACATCAACAATTGAACTACATAAAACTTTTAAATTTGGTGGAATTCTTCTTAAAAATGATCATCTTATAATTAATCGTTATTTCCACAGAAAGGTAGCAATAATAGTTCATAGAAGAACTGCTTTTGGTTCCCTTAAGAACCTTTCAGTGGA